ATCCTCATTTTGTTAAGAATTCTTCATGTTATTCCCTCATTTTCCCCTCCCTCAGGAATGCGTTCAGTGTACGTTGCTAAGTTCGCTGTCTATACAATCCTCTTCCCAAATAAGGTAATTGGCTTGTCTGTTGTAAGGAGACACCCATTGATTTTGGGTAGAAAAAGGCTGTTATGCTTTGTGTGTAGTGAGAGAAGTGAGGATCTTCTGCCTTTTAACATCTGGCAGAGAGAGAGAAAGCCGAGTCTCGCTGTGACATCGAAACTGAGTGGAGACCAGAAATCCTTTTTGAGCTCATCAGACTTGAAACTGCTTAACCCCAGGCATCTTTTTGGCAAGTAGTTATCTACCTAAACTTCTTTCTGTTATCTGTTTGCTGTGCTATTGTTCTCTGTATAATTATATATATATATATATTGATTACATCTTTTTCCTGTAAATATTTTTATTGCACCCTTTTGACCTGTTAGTAATAAATATTACTTTCTGAAAGTGTTGAACTGTTTCTATAGCTCGTTACTGCAACTTACGAATTCCTGCCTCTAAAAGAGTGCTACTGTGTTTGTTTAACCCTCTGTATAACTGGTCTGCAGGGACAGTGTTATACAGAGAGATTATCTCAACCATTATAGTGTTATTGCTGGTATAGCCAAGTTTCCTCTTTCTCTGTACAAAAGGAGGTGGTGGCAGTGTGAAGGGTTAATTGCGTTATTAACCTGACCCAGTGACAATCGCTCCCAGGCTGCCGGTACGTCGATTGTGGTCCAATTAGCTGGAAAATCGGTGTGCAGGGTACAGCTGGGCGTGGCATTGTTACGCATGTGAAATTGCGGTTTTAGATTGGCTAGTGCTTCAGTCACGAGTTTGGTGAGAAGGTCTGGGGTCTGACGCTGTGCCCGTCACAGTTATTATAGAGGAAGAGTTACTATGGAGGAAGAGTTACTATGGAGGAAGAGTTACTATGAGGAAGAGTTACTATGGAGGAAGGGTTACTATAGAGGAAGAGTTACTATGGAGGAAGAGTTACCATGGAGGAAGAGGTACTATGTAGGAAGTGTTACTATAGAGGAGAAGAGTTACTATGGGAATTACTATGGAGGAAGAGTTACTAGAGTTTACTATAGAGGAAGAGTTACTAGGAAGAGTTACTATAGAGGAAGAGTTACCGTAGAGGAAAGAGTTACTATAGAGGAAGAGTTACTATGGAGGAAGAGTTACTATGGAGTTACTATGAGAGTTTACTATGGAGGAAGAGTTACTAGAGAGGAAGAGTTACTGTGGAGGAAGAGTTACTATGGAGGAAGAGTTACTATGGAGGAAGAGTTACTATGTGGAGGGAAGAGTTACTATAGAGAGGAAGAGTTACTATAGAGGAAGAGTTACTATAGAGGAAGAGTTACTATAGAGGAAGAGTTACCATGGAGGAAGAGTTACCATAGAGGAAGAGTTTACTATGAGGAAGAGTTACTATGAGAGGAAGAGTTACTATAGAGGAAGAGTTACTATAGAGGAGGAGAGTTACTATAGAGAGAAGGGTTACTATAGAGGAAGAGTTACCATGGAGGAAAAGTTACTATAGAGGAGAGTTACTATGGAGGAAGAGTTACTATAGAGGAAGAGTTACTATGGAGGAAGAGTTACTAGAGAGGAAGCGTTACCATAGAGGAAGAGTTACCATGGAGGAAGAGTTACTATAGAGGAAGAGTTACCATAGAGGAAGAGTTACTATATAGGAACAGTTACCATAGATGAAGAGTTACTATGTAGGAAGAGTTACTAGAGAGGAAGAGTTGCTAAAGAGGAAGAGTTACTAGAGAGGAAGGGTTACTATAGAGCAGTGTTTCTCAACTCCAGTCCTCATGGACCCCCAACAGGTCATGTTTTCAGGATTTCCCTCAGATGAAACAGCTGTGGTAATTACTAAGGCAGTGAAACTGATCAAATCACCTGTGCAAAATAATGGAAATCCTGAAAACATGACCTGTTGGGGGTCCATGAGGACTGGAGTTGAGAAACACTGCTATAGAGGAAGAGTTACTATGGAGGAAGAGTTACTATGGAGGAAGGGTTACTGAAATGGAACCGGACCCCGACTGTGCTGGGGTATTTCCGTTAGAATCGCTTCCCTGTCCGAACACAGACACCAACGCTGACCATACAAGAGGAACCTGACTTCTTAAGACAGGAAGTGGACTGCTTTATTTTAACACAAACACAAGATTTATACACAGGGCGGGGAAATACAACCAGAAACAGGAAACACACCACAGCAGGCCGTCCCATCAGGGGGAAGGGCTGCCGGAACCCCCCCCCCCCCCCACCAAACCAAGACACACAATAGAACAATGGGATACACATGGCAGTAGACAATACAGGAACATTTGCATCCCATAATAGTTTGCTCCCAAGCAAGACACAATAGAACAGTGGAACAACCACTTGGCATTAAACAATGGACAACCCCTAAACTAATACACAAACATTACATCCCATAATAGTTTCCTAGAATAATGGGAGGCAGCCACATGGCATAGAACAATGAACAATCCCCACACCAATATTAGAACATTTTACCCTGTACCCCTAACAGGCACAGGGTGACTCACACATAATGGGAACATGGGGAGCTGAAACAGGAGTCCCCCCACCTCTCCAAAGGGGGCTGGGTTCCATGGGCCCCCCACCCAAAAGTCACTTCCATCACATATCTCCCCTTTTGGCAGGAGACTAACGTAGGAGTAAATCCCAGATGGATGGACTCCGAAGTAAGTCTGTACTTCCAGTCCCCCAATGCCATCACCCACACAGTACCCCAAGCAAATTGTACCACACAAAGCATTACTCACCCAGCCAACCTCTGCCTCTCTCGTAGAACATACCCGCTGCTGGGGAGAAGTACGGACTGGTCCTTCTCCCTGAAGTCCTCTCAGCCGCTGGAGAGAAGACAGGGTGGCTGGGCCAACTCCATCATGTTGTGGGGGATCTGGGCCGACTGCCCAGAATACCTGGGGTATCCAGGTGGTGACTGTAGTATCATCCACTTTGACTTGATGGACATCCCCCAGCGTTTGCAATGTAAGGCTGACATCCTCTTGTCTCAATGCTAGACCCTTTTCTGGGGTTGTGTCAGTAGAGACCGAAGTCCCATCCATAGACATCAGCTCAAGCTGCCGTTGTGAGGTGCCGATTGTATCCTCTTCCTGTAGCTCCTGTGGTGCTGATTGTTGTGGGCAGGGGTCAACCACGCCATGCCCTGATGCCAGCTCTTCTGCGGGAGGCTTGCCAGCTGGTTCCTCCTCAGCAGAAAAGTCAATCAAATCCCCAGTCTCTGGAACTGGTGTCTGGGGATAGGGGTTCACCATCTCCTGTCCGTGGAACCCAGAAGATGTTACCAGTGCTGGGCAGGGTTCAGTAATGTTTGGCTCTGTTGCCAGCTCTTCTGCTGGAGGCTTACAAGGTTGTTTTTCCTCAGCAGAGAAGTCTATCAAATCCCCAGTCTCCGGAATTTGCACTGCCGATTCTTGGGAATGCTGCTAAACATGTTTTAGCAGTTGCCTGTATGCCCTTTCCAGATGCAGTTCTTTCTTCAGCAGGTATTCCAGATCTGGTTCAAGCTCTGAGACCCCTGTGAGACCGAACATAGCCTCTCTGCCTTCTCACAACTCTTCCAGGGTAGGTATTCCTTCATCGCCAAACACAAAAAGATCTGTAAGGCTCTCCCACCGCAATCCAGGGCCACCAAAGTCATATCCCTCAGGAGAGCATTCTGTTCTCACCCCTAAATATTCCTGCTCTGTGTACCATTGCAGAGCCTGATATCTGTTGTCCAGCTCTATCTCCTGCTGGACCAGCCTGTCCAACTCAATCACCCATTGCTCCGGGGGTCGCTCTTCCAGGAACGGCATCCGTAACGTCCAATGGTCCCTGGCCCATTCCCCTGGGGTTGGATAGCACTTGTCTTTGTCCATACCAGCAACCTGGAGGGCTCCTCTCCAAAGCACCTCCCAAATCTGCTGCCTGAGCTCCAGGTACTGATCTATAGACACAGTCCTGGGGTATGCTGCAAGAACGATCCGCAGCAGCCCGGGAACTCTGATGTCAGGTCCATATCTCCACTGGGGTGACCGACGTCTCCTTTCCTGATCTTGGATCCCGGTGGTGGTTTGGACGTATTCACAGCTTGGAAGCAAGATCCCACCGCTTGCCACCAATGTAACGGAACTGGACCCCGACTGCACTAGGGTATTCCAGTTAGACTCCTGCTTCCCTGTCCGAAAACAGATCCACGGACACCACCGCTGACCATACAAGATGAAACAGCACCAGACTTGTATTAAAACAGGAAATGGACTGCTTTATTTTAACACAGACACAATATATATTCACAGGGCGGGGAAATACAACCAGGAACAGGAAACACATCATCAGCAGGCCGTCCCATCAGGGGGAAGGGCTGCAGGAAACACCCCCCACCAAACCAAGACACACAATAGAACAATGGGATACACCACATGGCAGTAGACAATACAGGAACATGTGCATCCCATAATAGTTTGCTCACAAGCAAGACACATAATAGAACAATGGGACAACCATGTGGCATTAAACAATGAACAACCCCCACACCAATACACAAACATTACATCCCATAATAGTTTGATAGAACAATGGGATGCAGCCACATGGCAGAGAACAATGAACAACCCCCACACCAATACACAAACATTACATCCCATAATAGTTTGATAGAACAATGGGATGCAGCCACATGGCAGAGAACAATGAACAACCCCCACACCAATACACAAACATTACATCCCATAATAGTTTGATAGAACAATGGGATGCAGCCACATGGCAGAGAACAATGAACAACCCCCACACCAATATTAGAACATTTCACCCTGTACCCCTATCAGGCACAGGGTGACTTACACATAATGGGAACATGGGGAGCTGAGACAGGGGTCCCCCCACCCCCAAAAGTCACTCCCATCACAGTTACTATGGAGGAAGAGTTACTATGGAGGAAGAGTTATTATAGGGGAAGAGTTACTACAGAGGAAAAGCTTCTAGAAAGGAAGAGTCACTACAGAGGAAGATGATGCTGGACGTCCTCCAGACTGGAAAAGGCGGAGCTCTATCTGACTTCGTGCAGCTTCTAATGCACATTGAGAGAAGCTCCCAGTGTGCAGTGACATCAGAGGAAGCCATTCCAGTCCAGGAGAGGAGTCGGTACACCTGTGCAAGACTGGAGGGGAGGAGCCGGTACACCTGTGCAAGACTGGAGGGGAGGAGCCAGTACACCTGTGCAAGACTGGAGGGAGGAGCCAGTACACCTGTGCAAGACTGGAGGGGAGGAGCTGGTACACCTGTGCAGGACTGAAGGGGAGGAGCCGGTACACCTGTGCAGGACTGAAGAGGAGGAGCTGGTACACTTGTGCATGACTGAAGATGAGAAGCCGGTACACCTGTGCAAGACTGAAGGGGAGGAGCCGGTACACCTGTGCAGGACTGAAGGGGAGGAGCTGGTACACCTGTGCAGGACTGAAGGGGAGGAGTCGGTACACCTGCGCAGGACTGAAGGGGAGGAGCCAGTACACCTGTGCAGGACTGAAGGGGAGGAGCCGGTACACCTGTGCAGGACTGAAGGGGAGAGCGGAGGTCATATTTAACCCTGTGTAAGCTCTGACACCGGCCAGCTGGAAGCTTACACAGAGATTAGACCCCAACAGGAGAAGACAGTGGTGGGGGAGGGCAGGGAGGCAAATATCACTGGGTGGGTTGGCCTATCAAGAGGACCTGTCAATTTGTGACCCCTGAATATGGAAAGCGATTCACATTAAGCCATGCACAGCTCTCTTTGCACCGCATGAAAGATATTTTTTCGCCGCTCCTCCGCCGCCGCTGTTAAAGGGTTGACAATATTTTACTTAGTGCGCAATATCTGGAAGTTATAAATGATCCTGTCATCGTGTCCTGAAAGCTAAGAGCACGAATTAGTCATTATCTTCCCATCTCCCACATCTTGCTTATCAAACCCAGCCACAGTTCCCCCCAAGTAGAACGGTTTGTAAACAGCGGCAATTAGAGCGCGGGCCGAGGACGCCGCATGGCGAGCCTCAGAATTTCCGAGAGGCCGTTCATAAATTATGAATGACAGTCCCCAATAAAACCATTATCTAACAAAGTGCTGGAGAAAAAAATAACAACAACTGATTATTTTCAATAGGCCACTAAATCAAAAGCTCCGAACTATGATAAACTTGTAATGGCGGAATATTAAGTACAAATCCTTCTTGGCGCCGGCCTCGCGGCAACACCGGGGTAGATTATCCGGGACGACGAGCGCTGAGAGCTTTATTGTTCGCAGCAACAGATCAGTAAGGGAAAGCCAAGATTATTTACTGAACCACTTCCAGTCCGGACACTTCCCCCCCCTTCCAGTCCGGACGCTTTCCCCCCCCCTTCCAGTCCGGACGCTTTCCCCCCCTTCCAGTCCGGACATTTTCCCCCTCTTCCAGTCCGGACACTTCCCCCCCTTCCAGTCCGGACACTCCCCCCCCCCCCCCCCCCATCCGGACACTTTCCCCCCATTCAAGTCCCGACACTTTCCCCCCTTCCAGTCCCGACACTTTCCCCGCTTTCAGTCCGGACACTTTCACCCCCTTCCAGTCCGGACACTTTCACCCCCCTTCCAGTCCGGACACTTTCACCCCCCTTCCAGTCCGGACACTTTCACCCCCCCTTCCAGTCCGGACACTTTCCCCCCCTTCCAGTCCAGGCCAATTTTCAGCTTTTAATGACAATTGCGCGGTCATGCAACACTGTAACCATATGAATTTTTTAGCATTTTTTTGAGACAGATAAAACTTTTTTTTGGTGGTATTTATTCACCGCTGGGATTTTTATTTTCTTTGCTATGTAAAGTAAGGGAAAGCCAAGATTATTTACTGAACCACTTCCAGTCCGGACACTTCCCCCCCCTTCCAGTCCGGACACTTCCCCACCCTTCCAGTCCGGACACTTTCCCCCCCCTTCCAGTCCGGACACTTTCCCCCCTTCCAGTCCGGAAACTTTCCCCCCTCCCCCTTCCAGTCCGGACACTCCCCCCCCATCCAGTCCAGACACTTTCCCCCCTCCAGTCCGGACACTTTCCCCTCTTCCAGTCTGGGCACTTTCACCCCCTTCCAGTCCGGGCACTTTCACCCCCCTTCCAGTCCGGGACACTTTCCCCCCCTTCCAGTCCGGACACTTTCCCCCCCCCTTCCAGTCCAGTTTCCCCCCTTTCCAGTCCGGGCACTTTCACCCCCTTCCAGTCCGGACACTTTCCCCCCCTTCCAGTCCGGACACTTTCCCCTCTTCCAGTCCGGACACTTTCCCCCCCTTCCAGTCCGGACACTTTCCCCCCTTCCAGTCCGGACACTTTCCCCTCTTCCAGTCCGGACACTTTCACCCCCTTCCAGTCCGGACACTTTCCCCCCCTTCCATTTCCGTCCGGACACTTTTCACCCCCCTTCCAGTCCAGACACTTTCCCCCCTTCCAGTCCAGACACTTTCCCCCCCTTTCCAGTCTATCTAGACACTTTCCCCCCCCTTCCAGTCCGGACACTTTCCCCCCTTCCAGACACTTTCCCCCCCCCCCCTTCCATTCCGGACACTTTCACCCCCCTTCCAGTCCGGACACTTTCACCCCCTTCCAGTCCCACTTTCCCCCCCTTCCAGTCCACTTTCCCCCCTTTCCAGTCCGGACACTTTCACCCCCTTCCAGTCCGGACACTTTCCCCCCTTTCAGTCCAGACACTTTCACCTCCTTCAGTCTTTCCCCCCCTTTCAGTCCAGGCCAATTTCAGCTTTCAGCGCTATCACACTTTGAATGACAATTGCGCGGTCATGCAACACTGTACCCATATGAATTTTTTAGCATTTTTTTGAGACAGATAAAACTTTATTTTGGTGGTATTTATTCACCGCTGGGACTTTTATTTTCTTTGTTATGTAAATGAAATGTCCAAAAATTTTGAAAAAAAGTGTTTTTCTTATAACATTTTGCAAATAAATAATATTTCATCATAAATCTTGGCCAAAATGTATTCAGTTATCTTTTTAGTAAAAAGAAAATAACCCAAATTAGTTTATAACCAAAAATTATAATTTTTAAAATTGAAGATTTTTTTTTTTTACACTGATTGCTTTTACACCCATAAAGGCTGTAAGAGGAATCATTTCTCCTTCTCTCTGGCTGCATTCCAGCAGCTATTGAGAAATACTGTGTGAGCTGTGATTGGTCACAGCTTGTCACATGGTACAAGGCTGTTGTGAATAGCCCTGTACCATGTGACCTCTGTGATCCTTCCTTTGTAATCCGAGTTGCATCAAGTCCATGACACTCCTGGGATATTGATCTGGTCAGGTAAGTCGCAGAGGGGGTTGTTCGTCAGTTTCAGCTGCTTTGGTGTCAATGAAATTAACAACAGGTGCACTAGATGGTCAGCAATGAGACAACCCCCAAAACAGGAATGGTTTTACAGGTGAAGGCCACTGACACTTCTTTCTCTACTCATCTTTTCTGACTATTTTTCCCTAGTTTTGCATTTGGCTCGGGTTAGTGTCACTACTGGTAGCATGAGGCCATACCTGGACCCTACAGAGGTCGCACAGGCAGTCCAACTCCTCCGGGATGGCACATCAATACGTACCATTGCCTGAAGGTTTGCTGTGTCTCCCAGCACAGTCTCAAGAGCATGGAGGAGATTCAGGAGACAAGAGCATGGAGGAGATTCCAGGAGACAAGAGCATGGAGGAGATTCCAGGAGACAAGAGCATGAGGACGAGACGCATGGAGGAAATTCCAGGAGACAGAGCATGGAGGAGATTCCAGGAGACAAGAGCATGGAGGAGATTCCAGGAGACAGGAGTTCCTCTAGAGAGCTGGACAGGGTTGTAGAAGGTCCTTAACCCATCAGCAGGACCAGTATCTGCTCCTTTGTGCAAGGAGGACCAGGATGAGCCCTGCCAGAGCCCTACAAAATGACTTTGAAATCTCCTAACTACAGAGCCCAATCTAGGAACATCAAAATTTGGAGAAAGCTGGAAAAACAATTTTCTCCACTCAAAATCAATACTTGGGGGTCCGGCAGCCAGCACACATGTCCTTTTTCCACTCGTTTTCCCAGTGGCAGGGCCCAGCACACGTCACACCTGCGACTGTTTGTGTTCTGACAGTGACTCGTGCTCCAAATTCAGGTCATTCAAATTCGCTCCACTTCTACGTTGTGGCGCCAAACTCAAAGTGAAATCCAGACAGTTGGTATCTTACGAAAGTGGAACTAATTAGGACCAACTTAATCTCCATGTACAATAACAGATTTTGCCAACGTGTCTCACTTGTGATTAGAAAAGTGGCTCAGCATGTGCCAAATTCAAGAAAAAGTTCTGGACAGGTACATGAGTTTGATGCATGTTGCACCGCTTTTAGATTGCTTGTCTTTATGAATTCCAGGATTGCGGCTCTCTGGCTGTTGATGATCTTTTGGCTTGTGTCCCGGCTTTGCTCCTGTCTTCTAATCAAGTGTCATCATGGTCCCACCTCTGGTCTTCTCCTGGTGGTCCACAGTCATCTGTGTCTCGCATCCAACCGTTGGCTCTGCCTGCTACAGGATATGGGTCCTTGTCCCTCTCTGTGTTCTCACATCTCCTGCCACCACCACCAGGAGCAGGGCAGCGTTGAACAAGAGATGCAAGCAGGGGTGGACTGACAACTGATGGGGCCCCCGAGAAATAGGGGAACATGGGGCCCCTGTGTCCTCGCCCACACTCTCAAACCACACCCAAAAAAGCCTATGAAAGGTACTAAGGGCATGTCATAGGGCCCCCTACTGACCCCAGGCCCTCGGGCAGTGCCTGAATGGTCAGTCCGCCACTGGGTGCAAGAGAGGCTTTCCTGCTCGATCTCCACCAGGTACATGACACCTGCAAACACTTGGATGGAAAAAGTTCATTGAGTGTAACCTTGAGCTGACATGAAGATTTTTTGCACAAATTTGGCTTCACCTCCAGTTGACCTAAATCACTTTTCCCGACAGGGAATGTCCACAGCATGGGGAGAAAATGGCCCATTTAACAGGACCACTAGCTCACTGTTTCTCAACTTTTTTTACAGTCAAGGCACACTTTTAAATTATTGCTTTAAAATCCAGCGCTTATGGTGCAGTCCACAGTTCTCGGGAATGTTCATATCCAAAGTCACAAGAAAACTTCCATATCTGAATTGTTGAGTGCATCTCATGCTCTCTCCATACAACGAAGAAAGTCAAGTCTTTCAATCCATACACTTGTGTCTTCTCTTGAATATTAGCGTCCAATGTGATTCTACTGTGTTTCTCTCCCACCATGCAAAAAAAAAAAACATAAATAGTATACAGTGTAGTAAATTTGAATATATGAGCGAATATAGACCTAATAGCCTTGCTCACATAGAAAACATCATTTTGGGATTTTCTGCCAGATGTCTCCCCACCACATGAAATCCATGTCTTGATATCCACCACATCTACCCTTACCCTCAATCCAGGCAACTCTTGCAGTATTATAAATGATCCTTTTGATATTCTCCACCGTTGATCCTGCCTACCGGGCACTTCTACCCCCTTCCTGCCCACCAGGCACTTCTACCCCCTTTCCTGCCTACCGGGCACTTCTACCCCCTTCCTGCCTACCGGGCACTTCTACCCCCTTCCTACCTAC